ATAGATAGGTAGATAACTTTATTCGTCCTTAGAAGGACCCTATCTGGCTCAAGTGCGTCAATGTGGCAATCACAATGTAAAAATACAATGATATGCTATAGTAAACATTAATACAGCAGTAATTTAGGAAAAGTATAACAATAGTTTAACAGTAATATATCAATAATATAACAATAGTGTGGCATTAACATATCACCAATTGAGACAAAATCATTACTTCTAAGAGAGGCATAAGTGGCAAAAATTATTCATAGCAGCCTCTCGTGTGTGACCTACGATGGCTAGCATGTGTAAGAGTGAGTCTGCCATCTTGGAGAGCATCAACATCTGGCCGCCTTCTCGTCTGCCCTCGCTATTTTTGCAGTCTTCGTCTGGCCCGATCAACCACCACTAAACCATTTAGTTAACGAATGTAAGTCGCTCGATTCTCTCCTGCATATGCGCCATATTATTGTATCTTTCAACACGCTCGATCTCTCTCGGTCTTGTCCCCACCTTACCTAAACTCACGACCGTCGTATCTACCGAAATAGCCGCGGTGGCCCGACGCCGTTAACGAATTGTACGGGTGAATGTTTCGTGCCGAGCGAACAATTATCATTTGTAATCCTTAGCTTTCTTGTATTTTATATCATTAGGCGTCACTATCGTGACTGGCGCCCTTCTTAATAAATAAGCCTAATTATTATTTATACAATACATAATCGCGTAGATTATTTTTGGCACACCTTTTCTTCGTTCCCCGTTTACAGGTCAACGGACGTCTCGCCGAACATTTTATCCGCTTCCCGAGGGTATTACTTGATAGAGGGTAGATGAATTTTGAGTTCATTTTCTGAAAGAATGGGAATGGGTTGGGAGCTGGGTAGCTTTCGGATGAATACGTTGAGGTTACGGATAAATGGTTTGGGATAGCTAAACTCTCGAGTCACTGAGAGTGCTTTGGTGTACAGCAAATACATTTTCTTTGGCTAAAGTGGGTGTATAGAGAGTTTGCCTTCACCATTCGTGTTGAAAAGTGTTTGATTTCGAGTGCTCAACAGCCTATGGGAGTGAAAGACAACTGTATGACCGTTGAAGAGCATTGAAAAACCAGGTAATGGGTATGACCACTGTTGGAAATTTTTTTTTATTCTTGGGGACCAATTCCTTGTGCGCGTTATGAAGCGGATATACTGTGGCAATTCTATATATAGGGTTTTATTGATGATGGCGCAATCGGCGAAGTTAGACTCAAGAGTCAAACCTGACAACAGCACCTCACAGTCGTCGGTAACATGCTGAGGAGCCGGAGATAAATCGGCAGTTTGTATTTTCTTAATAGTTCCATCGAAGCTCCAGTCTGTTGGCCGAGATGGATTTAGCGTTCAGCTTCAAGGCATTCTCCTGCTTGGTCAGACGCTTATCTAGCTTGACTACAGCCCTCGCTACGTCCTCCGCGTTCCATGCTTAATCAAAATTTCAAACAATTTATGTAGTTATTCTAGTTCAAAGTGAAGAGTTCCATCAGTTTCGTGTTTACAGAAATTAAAATAAAAAAAAAGTATTACAAAATTAAAAATTCTTGTAATAATTATAAAGTTTGTGTGTCAACTCTGTACACACCATGGATCGAACAAAACTTAGGGAATATTTGAAATTGTGACGAGAATCTGGACAAGATCTCGTCTCTCTCTCCCACAAAGCCATAATGATTTGTAATCATACACGAGTTTATTGTTCCAGGTGCAGCATGGCGACCACGGCAGATCACAGGAGAGAGAGAGAGAGAGAGAGACGGAATCACGCGCGCGTCGGAGACTGCGCGAAACGCGAACGCGTCTTAAGAAATTACGAGGTAAGCAAAGAGCTACGAAAACAGTACAGCTTGGGCCTGACTGTAAGCAAGTCGCGCTTGCACGAAATTTAAAGAGATTTGATTAATTGATCGCAGCCCGCTATCGTCGTGTCGCGTCGTATCGCGCTGCGGGACTCGAGTGAGTGCAACAAGTGCATTGTGAGCCAGTGTGTGTACGCCCTGTAATCCAGCGTCGTGGATGGGCCGCAGAGTAACAAACGGAGGCAACTGCGTGTAAGTGCCAATTTTCGTATCGACTTCTCTCTCTCTCTCTCATTGCATTGCACTTATTCGCCGTCCTGAGCACGGCTGTAATATTCACCCTTATTGTTAATAATAATATATCTTATTTATTTCATTTCATTCGCCCGTCTCACTTTTGTTCGCCTTTTCCCTCTTATTTCTATTTTCTAGGCAACTCGGACCCGGTCGCTAGCGCGACCAACGCAACAATTATTTACCCCTTCTTGTACCGTTACAAAATAAAGACAATTTCGTGCGAAGAAAGAAATATTATTGATGTTGGTGATGTGAAATGTTATAAAAATTTTTTGGTTGATTTTTTTTTACATGTTTCTCAAGTAGCTCATGAACCACCCAATCACCTTATCAGAGCAACTGACATGAGCTTGCCTATCAGGATGGTGTGGTCAATGGTATCGAACGCCTTCGAGAAATCGATCGCCACCAAAATAGATACTTCTCTGTGGTCTATGGCACGACAGGTTCGCTCATTTCCGACATTACATTCATGGTGGAGTGCCCTGGCCTAAAACCATGATGCTCTGGATCCGTCAAGCCATTTTGAGAGAAGTGTTCAGACAGTTGAGCGTGGATGACCCGCTCAAAGATTTTTGAGAGCTCTGAGAGAAGAAATATGGGTCTGGTGTCCGACGGTAAGGCCACGCTGCTTCCCTTTGCAAGAGGAATCACAGCGGCCGTATTCCACAACACAAAAAAATAACCGAGGTCCAAAGAGGCGTTCGCAATATGCGTCTTGATGCGCAGTATTGCCAGAGATGAAAGCCAAAGAATGGTAGCAGAGATTCCGTCCATGCCAAAACCCCTCGCAACTCAACGAGCCATCACCAGCCTCACCTCGTCCTCCGTTATACGTCTATAATCGAACACTACGCGGCACTCAATTGGGACAGCAGCGGTAGCCGTGCAGACATCAAGTGGAGGCGCCGGGAATCAACAGCAACGTAGTGAAAACAGAGCTCATTCGCAGAGAAAGTTGTCAAGGACGACGGCAGTCAGGGAAACGAAACTCCCATACTATGCAGCGCGTGTCATCGCAACCGCACGTCCGTGGCCTTCACGACGCGTGAGGTGTGGTGCTGGTTCTTTGCCGTATCCAAAAGGTTACTCACGCGACTCCTCAGCGCTGTATACACAGCAAAGCTCGACCTCCTGCGTCGAAACCGGCTGTAGGCACGGTTGTGATCATGAATAAGATCTCTAATCTGCGATGTAACCCAAGGTTTCGACGAGAAACAGGTCGGGGCGCAGACAGTGCAGCAACTAGGTCAGCCACCGCTATCAACGCAGAAAAGACATCGTGACCACGACCAAGTTCAAAAGGGCCCTCGTAACGAAGCGGCTGCCCACCGCTGTCTCGTCGACCACAAAAAGCACGAGTCCGCTACGCGAGAAGTCAGTATTAATTTCTCTCTCAACCAAAGGAGCAGTAAGCAAGTTTCAGTCGTAATACGCTTAAAGTCATGAGTAAATTTAGTCACAGCAGGAGCGGAGTCGTGTGATAGTCTATACTCTAAGTCAATGAAGTTATTTGCCGCGGCAAAAAGAGAAGAAGAGCGAGAGAAACTTTCGATGAGTGACGTGTAGCGGTCTATGACTAAATCAAGGCAACTTTGGTGAATAGACCCATCGTGATAGATTATATCATGGGTCGACACTGTACTTACGAGATAAAGGAACAGCTGCTTGTTCAAGCAACCAACGTGTTGATCGTTCGGCGTATTCACGTGAATATTAAAATCACCTGTCACGATCACACTGTCTAGAAAGGGAGAAGTCGATAAAGCACCTCGAAAAACTCCTCTGGGTAGCCATCGTCCGTGCTCTGGTAAACAGTTGCGAAGAGTAGTTTCATATTGATACTCAGGGGTATAGTCATACATGGACTCCGAGGCCACAAGTTTCTCAGAGGACTTTTCTTCACACACCTGATGGAGCTATATAGACCTCAGATTCGAATTCAGCGACCCCCAAAACATATAGTAACCCACTTTTTCCCTCAGACGAGAAAATACATTTTTCAACCCTTTTTTAGGCCTGTATTAGTCGTTTTTTTGAGGTTATGTGCACACACACACCTGATGAAGCTCTATAGACCTTAGATTCGAATTCAGCGACCCCAAAAACATATAGTAACCAACTTGTGGGAATGTGCAATGGTTATTCAGTTTTTATTTAATGATTATAGTAGATTTTGAGGGGTTTTTTGAGGCTAGAAAAAAATCCTGACGTGTAGGGGTAAAACGGGCTACGGATTCGAGTTCAGCGTCGAAAAATACATGGGAATATGTGTATGGCATTCATAGCGCAGAAAAAAAAATTTTTTTGTGGGCCTGTGTAATGATTCATCAAAGAAAATGAAATGACATACAACTTAGTCGTGTCATGCAAACACTTGGAATCTTACGGCAAACAGCTTAGATATCCCAAATGCTTATCGCTGAAGGTTAATAGACTTATACCAGTTAATTTAAGTGTTAGTAAGTATTTAACTGGACAAAGTACTTTCAAATGGGGTATTGAAAAAGGCTCTTATGCCTGTTTTCTGATAAAAAATTTTTTTTTCACTTTTTCAGCTTAATACTATTAATAGAAAAATATAATTATTTAAGCCCCTTTGAGCCCTTAATCTAGCATTTTCAGTCATAACCTATGTTACAGGCATGGCAAAAATTTGAATCAATCTCTATTTTAGATTTAGATTTAGATGATGTGAGTAAGATGGGGGTGTTATGTTGGAGCAATTACTTTGGATGAGAGTATATTAATAAAGAAGAAAGTAATTCACTACAACTGAAAAAGATAAATTATATAATCATTCACTATAAATTTTTTTATCGATATCTTAAAAAAAAGATATCAAAAACTATCATTTATTTTATGAATGAATTAGATTACTTACATTTATAACGGCAAATACATTTTGAAAAGTCATGTTCGTGAGAAAAATAAAAAGAGCTCCATTAATGTTCATAACTCCATCTTGATCCAGTTTTTGGTTTAAATATATCAAACCAATAAGAATAGAAATCATCTGAAATTTATTTAAAGGAGTTTGTTTATTTTTTATAATACAAAATTCTGAATTTCTTAATGGGGGGGGGGGGGGGGGGGGTACACTATTTTTCGACAAAAAAATCGATTTCTTTTGTTTTTTTGGATTCAATATACTTTTAAGAGTATTCAGTCGAATGTTTAGGTCAATTAAACCAAAATTAATCGAGTTATGGACATTTTAGTGCAAGGTTGTTTTATGAGCATATTTACGTATAACGCATTCTTAGCTTTTTTAGCTTCTATATGGCCGTTCCTGTTCGAGACTCTCTGCTGATGCACCTTTAGTTAGGAATGACACAATGAACGTAGTACCGAACAACAATGAATATGAGAGACTGCCTAGCTCAGAAATGACTTTGGAGACTGTGCGCCTTCGCTGTTTACCCAAACTCCGAGCTACGCCAGACCACATGAATGACCGTCGGAATCGACGCTTGAGTACGTAAAGATCTTATGTTTATCAAAGCAATGCACAGTATTTATGATAATTTTAATAAACTCATCTTTGTTTATTGTTAATTTATAGCCGATGGAATCAAAGTAGATAATAATCATCCTTATAAATTTTTAAAGGCTTACGCGGATCGCTGTTACATGCAGTATAAGTGAGCAAAATTAATCAACAAAGGTATATTATTTCAGAATTTTTATCATTCATATTATTCTAGTAGTTATTTTTAAAATAATTTCATTTTTAGCTTACAGACCACCAGAAAATTTGTACACTGAGCTTCTGAATAATACGGTCAGTCAGATTATTTTGCTTAAGGTGGTTGGATGATAATCATTACAATAGTATTAATATAGGGTAAATCTACCACAACTCGACCATCAAATCACGGAGATTTTGTTAACAATGACATGAACTTGAAAACTTGCTAATATTTTTATTTTCGGTGACTGAAGGCATTATTCAATGCGTCATTTTATTTGAATTACTATTTATTCAAAGAAGACCCGGCTTAAAATAAGGATATCATTTTGGATATCATTCGGATATCCGATCGGATATCCGATATGATATCGGAATGATATCCGAATGATATCCGAATGATATCCGAAATGATATCATTCAGGATATCATTCATGAAATGATAGATGCGTCCAAAGGACATTTTTTGAAGCTACAATAATTTATAAGCACATTCCAATTCCGTTTCCAAATAATTTGTGTTTACACATTTTGATTTTTTTTTTGTTTTTAAGATAATAATGATTGTAATAACTGTACAAGAAAACAATAATTTTATTTTTAATAAATTTTTATTTATTGTAATACAATCTAAATTTAAATAATATTTCTTAGAATTTAATTATAATTTACTGAATTAGGCGTAGGACATATAAAATTTTTATCTAAAATTTGTATAAATACACATATCCTTTCAACATCGTTCAAAGGAATAGAAATTTTTTCATCGCTTGTTCCTACAACAAGTTTCATAGCAACATCTTCATCTTCAAAAATACTTTCTACTACTAATACATCACAAATTACAAATTCTAATGCTGTATTTTCGTCCGTAATAAATTCATGCATCCGTATAAACTTTTTTTGAGTGGTGATCGCATATGAATTATCGGAGCGTGTTCTATGATTCTTAGTTGTAGTGTATAGACAATTGTTATAAACAAATTTATGATATGTTTTACTATCATTACTTAATTGTAATTGATTGATCCATCTTCGTTTTGTTCGTTTAGAGGATCCAAAAAATCTAGCTGAATTTATTTTGCTGGTTTTTTTATAAAGTTTTTTCTTCAGATAGTTAGAAAACTGCAGTACTGGACTCAATGGATTTAATTCTAAGATATGTCTTTGCATTATTAAATCGCTTTGAGTCATAGCTACTGATCTAATAATTTGCTGTATAACCCCTTTGGCTGCATGTACTTTTTTAAGTAATGTTCCATTTCCAGCTTCAAAGACGTAGCCACTATGAGAAAATAGCGGACCCCAGTCAATAACGCTTTGCACAATATGCAATAACTGGTGCACGTTAAATGTCATTGCGGTTATAGTGTACAATTGTTGTGTATTTCGAACGAATAAATCCAACAAATTATGAGCTCTAGCTAGATCTTGCCTTGAAATAGAATCTCCGAGTAAAATGTAAAAAGCGTCAACAAATAATATCCAATGATCCAGGAAGTTCCGCATGTTTGGAAAAATACTTAAAATGGGAATGCTGTAGAACAATATCCAATTTTCCCACTCCCTTGCTTTCCACCATCTTCTATCGTTGATTCCACGACTTAATCTTTCCACTTTATTGGGTACTTTTATTTTTGATAGCAATTCATCAATTTGATTGATTTGATCTCTAGGCAACGAATAATCTTCATTTCTCGTGTCAATCCAATATCTACAAAATTGATCTGCAACACCTAAACACAAGCAATGAATGTAATCAGGTACGAAGCCCGATACAATGTCAAAACTATTCAAGAGCGTTAGCGGTGAAAATGATTTGACTCCAAAAACTGGTCGGTTTCGGCGTCTTTCGTCTTGTGCAAGAGTTTGTTCTAGGTATTCCAGCATATTCTCCTTTGTTCTCGGATTTATATTTCCTAGTAGAATCGGATATTTCATAGAACCTCCTCTACCAACTCTTTGGTAATCACCTGGGTGCAAGCACCAACTACAGCCGTAGTAGCCATTGTATTGAACGATTCCCTGCATTGGGGGTCGCGCTACCGAATCTACACAGCAACAAACTGCGAATACTTTTATATTTCTCTGGTGGTTATTAATTACACAATTAACTCCGTCGATGGACATTCGGTTGATATTATCTACAAAAGGTCGTAGAAAAGTAGCCATGTTTGGTTTATCTTTTCCAAACCAAAGTCCACAAACAATTGGATGAGAAAATCTTATATTGAACGGCAACTCATTAATTATTAGCTGAACCGGCCAAAGAGAGAACTTTGAACTTTGAAATACAGGAGCTCCATCTGAATTGAATGATGCAGTAACAAAATTATATTGATCTTCTTCAGGCAAAGATCTAACCAAATTTTTATACATAAGTCGATCATAAAAATCACGAATCTCGCGATTATTTTGCATCCTATTGTGAGAAACATTTTCATAATAATCACTATTTTCATTTATCAAACTAATAATTTCATTTTCAACATTTATCATTGCAAAAAAATCATTATAGCTTGGATCTTTAAAATTGATGAAAATGTTGCATCTATCACATTCTAATTGACTATAAATTTTGTCAAATTTTCCCAAGTACTTTTTGCAATTATAACAGCAGCCATAGTAATCAACGATATTATTGGAATTAAAAAGCTTATCAATTTTATAACGAGTATCTGGCACCACAGAGGAACGAAAGAACGAATTAATCATTTTAGCGAGATCAGTAAATCCACTCATTGGAAGTGAATTAATTAGAGAATATTTCAACAAGGCAAACAGTATTTCACTTTTGCTTACAACTAATGGTGTAGTAATGATTTCATTAGAGTCATCTTCGTTCACAAATTTATGTAGAGCCGGAAATGGACCCAATGGTTCATCGTTTTCTTCATTTATTTGAATATCTCTCATTAACGCCATCACATCTTCACCATCAGCATCAGACCCAGCAATGCTGCTTCCAAAATCACTGTAAATAGAATCGTCACTGCTTTCTGCGTGAATATTCACATTAACTTCAGCCTGAAAGTAGAGTCGATATTGAAAAATAGGAATTGCAAATAAATCTTTTACGAGAATAATCAGAGAATCTGACTTACGGTTATACTTACATTCATGATGATTTCATCCAAACGTATACCTTGATTACTATTGTTTGATTCAATTTCATCATTGCTGAAATGATCATCACTAGGATTCCAGGGCAGCTACAAATTTTATGACAATTAATTTTTTCGTTTGATAAAATTAATTTTTTTTAAGCTCTTACGAAATCGATTTCTGATAAGAAAGTTGATAAACTTTTATACATTTTTATAAACTATTACGAACCTCCATCAAATTTTATTAACTTTTAAAAACTTGAGTTTAAAAAGGAGGTTGTTATTTAAAAAAAGTTTATAAAAGTTTATGGTAGTTAGTTATTAAAAGTTTGTAATAGTTGATAAAATTTAACTGTAGAAAAAAATTTCCATTAGAGAATAATTAAATAAAATGTTGAATGTACCTCATTGTCAGTTGAATACATTGATACATTTGAATTTTCTTCAGACGAATTAGAGCTGAGTGTGGTTGATGTACTGTGGATCGACGATGTATCAGTGCTCGTGTCATTTTCTACTTCGATACATTCATTATGATTTTCAATTTCTGGCAAAGGATGAATCACACAATTCTGTTCGAAATTTAAAAAAAATACATACACTCAACGTGTTTGAATAATGTTTGGTTGTCATAATAAAGGACGAATAAATTACACATTACACATAGTAAATAACGAATTCTTACCCGCCACATGTCTAATTCTTCGTTGAGTCTCAATCTTTGATCGTTCATTATGATTATATTTTTAAGATCGTATCTGCTAACTTTTATTGTTATACAATATTCCGATTAACAAAGTATGGTTGTACTTATCTCAAAAAATTTAATTTCTACAAGAGACGTTTACTAAACTTGAAACTCAAGAAATAAATACAAAATTTGCTGTATTCTAGCGACTTTGGTGGAGAAATTTTGAAGCTTACGTTGTCATGGTCACGTAACGACCAGTGTTGCTCCGAGGCAAACTCTACGGCGAACAGTACCGGTGGCGCGCGACGTCAGAGTTTGGCTCAGACTAACGATGCGTAAACGACGGTTAAAAACGGCGGTTGAAAATTTGGTGCGGTCGGTGTTCCTAAATTGATACTTACATGTTAGCGTTGTATGTTTACACGAAAATGTACGTTTAATCTGATTTACATTTTATTTTTGTATTAGAGTTGTAATTATCATCAATAACATTAATTAATTTATCGAATGAAATAAAATTACACTCC